CATGACTTCTTCGCTAGGTTCGGTACCGCTTTCAGCCCAGTACAATTTCACCCAATCAGAATCAAGCTCAATTGCCTTAAAATTTTCTAAATTTTGTGATCTACTGTCTTAGCCCATTAAAAAAATTTTTAAAAATATCCGTACTTCCAAATTTAAAAACAACTAAATGAAGGGGTAAATAGGGACAAAATTAAGACCGCTAATTCAGTCTGATAGTCAAAGGAATAGATAAATTCGTACTTGGGGCTGTCCTGGAGGGCAAACATCTGACCACATTAGTTGAGTGGGAGCTCGAGTTGGCACTGATGGTCTTGCTCTGATCAATCCAGACGAAGGGCTAGGGTCAGAAACACCATCTGCGCTACGTGCAAAAATACGAAACTCATATTCTCCATTTGGTCTTAGGTTTTGCACTGTAAATGAAAGACGAAAAATAAGTAGCAATTAGCTAGAAGAAAGTGAAAAAACCATAAACTAACATGATGAGTAATAAACTAGTTCTTCAAAATTAAAAAATCCCAAAAGGAATAATAACGCCCCACATACGGATCATCATCTACAGGCTAATGAATAAACAAATGGGCCAATACAGTAATCCTCACAATGGCGTTAAGAATTTATATCTTTCTGCTTTATAAAAAAATAGCTGCTTTAAACAAGAAATAATTTATCTCACCCTCATACTGGCAAGTATCAATTAAACGATCATTTGACTGCGTCCATAATTCGCTCTCGGCAGCGCGATACTCCACCTACAAAAGCAGTAAAATGAGCCTAAAGACTACTTTATGAGCAGTTGATGAAAACTAAAACGGAAGATAACAATGACAGAAAGATAAATATACTGCTAAAACAAAAAAAGTACATCATATCCAGCTACAGGAGCGCAGTCATGTTCCGCAACCGCAGGAGCCCACTCTAATATTACTCGATCAGCACTAACAGAAACTACGGATGGACGACCAGGAGGTGTTCCCCGCCATAGAGGTCGCTTTCGAGTGTAAATTTCGTCCTCTGCCATAACATTATAAGCTAAAATTAATAACATTTAAGAAAAAAAATGAAAATTCACGTTCTAATAGCTGAATCAGAATAAAACCAAGCAAAACCATTTCTCCTCGCATTCACGCAGAAATAATCGTGCACCAAAAAAAAGGGAAGTAAATAAAAACTTCATGGGAAAATTTATTAGCTGAAACTTACAACCAGAAGCATAGGTCTCTATCTTTACTACTGAACGTAACCGAACCACAGTTGAAGGTTCTGATACCAAGCCATATCCGGCTGCGTTGACTGCCATTACCCGAAACTCATACTCTGTATCTGGCTTTAGGTCCGATACTAAATATCATACTTCTGATGTAGACTTCTTCAGTCTAATAAGTTCTTCATGACTCTAGATAGAGCTGTATTTTGAGAAGTAAAAACACAAAGCAAATGTACCAGTGCATTGCGTTCCTCGCGCCAAAAAGTTATGAGCCGGCCTCCAATCTGCTGTACCAAGTTCGTGAAATTCGACCTTCAAATCATGAGTATAAAGATTTTGCAAAAATTGAGGAATTAAACAGGAACTGTCGTGAGGATTATGACTAGCGTGCAAATGAAGGAATACAGCGGGACAGGTTTCTCCGATACTTCAAACTAAGTCACCAAAAAACCTTATTTTTTTCAGACTAAAAAGCATCACTTGTTGCCCCAAACATTAATCACATTTTTACCACATAAAATGTTTAACTTCTAGACTCCGCTAATTCGGATTTCAATTCGTAACAAGAAAAAATGTCAAAACAAAAACGTTTTGATAAAACTCAACTTGATAAAACATTTTAAATAAAGACACCATAAATGAGAAACGAATAAATACAAAAGCGCTAAAATAGCTCTCCGCAGTACCAGAGGCTACAAACAAAAATAAACAACGGTTTTTGAAGAGATATTAAAGTCATACAATGTTTAAAAGCAATGATTTACTTGGTTTAACAAACATTGCACAGGTACTTTAAAATGAACTATTACAAACCTGGTAACCTAAAATAGGACCTGCTTTGCCTTCAGATTCTGGCCTAATCCACGTGAGATCGATATCAGTATTACCAATTCGTGTTATCTGAGGTATTCCACACCGACTAGGAAGATCTTCTGAACAGCAACAAATAGAAAATCGACATGCAAAGTTAATACAACAGAAAAGGACAAGGGACAAGAGAGAACGACACAAAAGCGTTTGTTTCCAAAAAAAGTTTGAATGCTGTTTAAATATAAGCCATTAATAAAAAGATTTTCAAGTTAATATTCGAGAAACTGCGTATTTAAAGACAAAATAACTCTGAAAGCTGATCCCTTCTGCAGCAACTGTTGTTCCCACAAAGAATTTTGCAAACTTAAATCTGCTCCCCTTAAATCTTTGGATTTTACACCAAAACTTACAATCCTAAAAACTTCAATAAAGACGAACTTTTCAATTAATAATCTGCATAGTGAAATAAACAAATTTTACCAGTATTAACCCCAGAAGAAGTGTAGCCTCCACTCTCAAAATAAGTATTAACAGTGTTATGTTCATATTTACCAACACCATTTACTAGAGGTGACGAATCTCTAGTTAAATCAATGCCCAATGTAAGAAGTTCAGAGTCGGTGTAAGGCACTGTAACAGAACAAATGAGTGACAAAATTGTTAGTTCTCTAATTGTGAGACTGCAGTTAAATACAAGACAACGAACACGTAATCATTCATTCAAATACCATTCTCATAAAGCGGTGGAAATTCACCAGAAGGAATTGGGCTGCCGTTTGCATCAAAATAAAAATCGCCGTCTACATCATAAGGTAGATGCCGTACTGACCGCGTAGTTGTAACTTTTGTCACCTTTGTCACCTGTAAATTTGGAATAACGAATATTGCAATGCAAAAGTTACTTTGCCTGGAAAATAGAAAATTAGCAAGCGTCTCAGTGGAAATCTTTAAAGAGATGAAGCTGACCTAGCAAACCCAAAATTATAAAGAGATTTTTGCCTATATAAAAAACGTACTTTTTGTGTCTGTGTAGAAGTCCGCTCGAAATCAGGATCAAGCTCGTGAGAGTCATAATTTTCAGTATGAATTTCTTCTGTTGGCTCATCACGATGTGATTCATAAGTGTAAGAATAAGTAGAACCACGCGCAGTTGTAGGACCCGGAAGTGGTTCGTTCATGTAGGCTGTCACAACACTAAACAAGAAGTAAATAAACTTGGATTATAAAGCTGAATCTTAGGCAAATCTGATTCACAGATTTACCCACAGTGTTTTACAAGGTACAATTAGATTTACAAAACTAAATTCATGCTTTACTTTGAATTAAATAAGATGTAAAATAAACTTTATATCCCCTATCATATAAAAATAAAGCAGAAAAAAAAGGACAAGATGCGTATCACGCAACCTGTTTTTTTTTTTTTTTTTCAGCATAAGGAAAAGGTTAAAAATGTGCACACGGTACGGTCTCCGCACACAAAGCAATAAATGTGATTCAATAATTTTTGAGAAAGCAACAATTAAAAATTCCTATATTTCATTACAATTATCAATAGAAAGAGGACGAAAACAAGCATTAGAACCTTGTATGAGGATATACAACTTCGGTGGATCGTTTCCATGTCTCGGGCACGGCGTCTTCCGGTATGGTACTAAAAAAAAAGAATGTTCATTGATACGCGTAATCAATTAAAAACAAAAGACTTAATTAAACTCAGTATGGAAAGGAATAGAAAAAAAAAAAAGAAAATGAATTTTCTACACCATTTTACATTAACCTTTTCAATATCACATTAAATCGTCTGTTAGACCTCCTACGCAGTTTGTTCTTAAACTAAACAAACGTAAATTTGACTACATATTGCAATTTTAATACATTATTTTGATTTATTTTAATAATGCTTACAAAATTGTGAGTGTCAACAGAGCAAAGCAAAGAGAAAAAAAAAGGTGGTGAAACAATGCTCTTAATAGTAATACTTGTTACCTGACACGAGTTTCCACGTGCTGCGTCGTATAGATCTCAGTCAGACGTGAAGTCTTCTCATGTTTCACTGTATAGGGTGAGGTGGCATCCCGTTCTTCGTTAACAACAGAACCCATGCCACGAGGGTACACAAGGAATGATTAGGAAAAAACAGAAATAAAACAAAATAAGAACAACAAAAACAATTAATCAACGAATAAATACAGAAACAGGAGGCTTTAAAGATGAAAAATTGTTCCACAAAAAGACGAATGCATTTCCTGAAAACAAAAAAAGTGATGAAACAATGGTTAAAGTGTGTTGTATGCCCATCTTTCATGTATAATCAACAGCATCATCAAAAACACATCAAACTAACGTTGCTAATCGTAGAAAACGCAGATGAAAAGCTTAAATATTAGCTGCTGACAAAAAAAAAGGAACCGAAAAGGGAACAGAAGGCAGTGTAAAAGAGGAAGTCCAACACCAATACATATCAACAGTTTTTTTGCCATTTTTGCAAAGCGTATTTAAAAAAATCCTTTTTGCAACCTTCTTCCTTAGATTTATGGCAATGCAAAAGCAGTCAAGCAATTCGTGAAAACCAAAAAATGGATATAATTGCAGGTTATGTCTCTGAAAAACCGCAACAAACCAAATACTGAATAAAAAAGGCGGAAAAAAAAAGTAAAGCGAAAGGGTCATCAAAAAGTGGAAAAACAAACTAAAAAAAAAAACAAAAATATTGAGATCAAATCTGATAAGGATAAAATTGAGGGTGGGACAAGTAATGAAGCAATAATTCTTAGTGATTTAAAAAGTCTGAAAAAAATGAAAAATAAAAATAAAAAAAAGTAAAAAAAAACAAAATGCCGATCTTCTTGTCGATAAGGTTTTTTCTTCAAAGAAAGCTCAAAGAAGAAAAAGCCAAAGAAAAAAAAATCCCCTGGAATAAATAGAAGCAAAAGTTTTTTTTCTATAATGCATATACTCATTCACTGGTTACACATTAATAAATAAATAAATAAATAAAACTGAATAGAATAGATTATATAACAATTAGTCTTCGAAACAATTTGACTTGCTCAAAATAATTCAAACCAAAAAAAAAAAAAAGAAAGAAAAGAAGCAACAAAATTAGATTTTTTTTTTTACTTCCAAAACTGCTTAAAAAATTGCTATTAATGATTATAAATAAACCTTGAAATGAATCAACGAAGAAGAAAACCAATAACTGATGTACTCACATCTTATTGACGAGATATTAGTGTGAATAAACCAAACTAAAAATGGATGAAAAGCATCCAGTAAATCAGCAGTATTTCTGCATCACAGATACACAACAACAATCACAGTCACCAAGTTGAATGCCAACAATTTAAAATGTTAAAGAACAAAAAAAAGCAAACGGAAGCATGAAAAAATTCAAAAAAATGTAAGCTGCTTGAGGCAACTAAGAAGCATCAAACAACAATGCGAAACTGTACTCCGACTAACCCTT